TTTATTTTTTTAAAATGGAATACTCACTAAAAAGATAAATATACTAAAAATGCTTTTAAATGAACTCCCTTTAAAAAATTTTTTATTTTAAATGTAAAATTTTTCAACTTGTAAATAAGAATACTTTGTGTACATTTGTTAAGAATGTGCTTATTGCAATGAAGTAATGTTTATTTGTTTGTAACAGAGCTGCAGCCTAGCACAGACAGCATGTACACTTGATTCTGCTGAAGCATACCTGCTCTTACTTAAAGCGGGGAATGAAATATCTGTTTTTAGTGAATCTGGATGTGTAATGATCCTGAAAGATTACCATATTTCTGAAAATAAACTACATGTAAGCGATCCTAAATTTATATGCATGTCTGAACTTATGGTCCAGTAAAATTGCATAAATTACAAAAATAAAATAATAACTGCATTTCATGTGCAGTTCTTTGCTATTTTGCTTCAGTAGAACTTTTTTCAACAACTCAATTGATAATTAACAGATAAATAATGTTCATGTATTATTCAAATGAACTTTAATTCATACACCTTATACATTTATTTAAACTGTCTCTTGTTTATCATCAACTAGACACCATACAAATATACATTGTATCTTCTAACTGAGGGTAATGTGAAATGTATTACCACAAGAACATGACACTTAAATAATGCTAAACTTTAATGCAGAAGTTAAAAAAAAGAACAAAGTAAAGTTTAATTATAAAATCTTTTGTTTTCAGCCTGAGAAATATGTTTTAGTCCAAAGACAGGCCATGACTGATTTCAATGAAGAGTGTCATTGAGTGTTCTGGTGTAGTTGTGACAGCAATAGTTCTAGACAGATTTCCTCTTTGAATACTAATGTGAACATGTCAATTAAAGGTATTTCTTCTATTATCAGTGACTTTTACATACTTTTGCTGTAAAACCTCTTGGGGAAACAAATACTTTGTTTGTTGCTGAGAGTATTTGCTCTACAGAGGATGTCTCTAAAGAGGTCATACTGTAGTTATTCTCAAGATTTCCTCTTTAAAATTATTATTATTAATTTTAATTATTCAAATAGAGAAATTAAAGCAAAATCATCTTATGTCAGGGCTATTCATGGTTATGGTATTCCATCATTTTTTAGGAAAAATATTGTTTTGAACTAAATTTGTACTTTTCACAGACATGACTGAATTTTCAACCGTTTTAATTGCCTTTTTCTACAAATGTAATGAAAGTCCTTTACTTTTTTTCAAATTAAAAAATAGAGGTATTTTTTACAGTCATGGCGGTGTTTACGTTGCTGTGGCTGTCTGCAAACTTTAACCTTGATAATAAATTTCCAAGTTGTTGATGTATTACTATTACGTTCATACTTGGCAACAACAATCTGTAGGACAAGACATATAAGTAGGCCTTTTAAGTAAAATGTATAAATTTTGCTTTATTTTTGCTATTTGTGGCTTTAACTTTTTTGTTCTGTTTAACACAATAATCTTTTTGGATAGACCTTGTTTGCTTTTAAAAAAAAAATGAAAAAGGCAAGTATTGCCCCACCTGGCGTTTGCTCCGGTTGAAATTTGTGTTAAAATTCTGCCATGACTTTGTTTAAATCAAACAAAATTTAATGATTATTTCAGAACTTCAAAGGTTGTATCCTGACTGTATCCATATAAAAGCATCAAGAAAAGTTTACAGAAAGTATGACCAAGACAATGGGATTGAGGCTATAGATGAATCCTTTGTTAGAGAGCAAGGTATACATAACTGTTGGTTTTAGAAGTGATTTGTGCTTGTTATGTCTTATGGTATGACATCATAGGGAAACTGTCGAGTGGCATTAATAACATTGATATGATTAAAGTTTTTAGCTAGATCTTGTAAACTAATTACTTAAATATAATTAAACTATATGTATAACAACATACTCATCAGCTCTTCGGTATAATTTCTGTTATAGCCCTTGTCTAATGACAGTGAATCAGCTAATGATTAGTAATTATTGCATAAACAATTGGAGTATTATGTGTAATAAAAATATAAAAATAAAAAATTGCAAAAACGCAAATAGAACATTGCATAATATAGTGTCATTTTAATCCTACTTTTTAAATGGATTTTTTTTTCAGGTGCAGATCACAGGTATCTGGTAGGCAAAATATTTACACTATCAATTTTAATCTTATTTTATGACACCTAGTGTCTGGTTGCATACTGTTGGGGTTAAGTGATTTGATAATGTTCTACCAAATTATGGCCCTTTGTTTTTTTTCCATGTATGTAATATATAGTGCACATTTTTTTCTTTGCAAAACACCTACATTTCTCAAGGGATTATGATAAAACTTTCACAGAAGCTATGTCATCAAGTGCCCTAATTCATATTGTCAGGGTTTATTGATTGAAGATGCTATGACCCTTTGTTTTTAGCTCACCTGTCACTTTGTGACAGGGTGAGCTTTTGTGATCGCTTTTCGTCCGGCGTCCGTCCGGCGTCCGTAAACTTTTACTTTAAATGACATCTCCTCATAAACCACTAAGCCAATTTCATACAAACTTCGCAGGATTGAGGAATGTTCCTTTGGTGGTCACCTTTGAAAATTGTTCAAAGAATTTAATTCCATGCATAACTCTGGTTGCCATGGCAACCAGAACAAAAAACTTTAATTATCTTCTTCTAAAAAACCCAAAGAGCTAGAGCTCAGATATTTGGAATGAAACATCTTCTAGTGAGTGTCTACCAAGTTTATGTATATAGTAAAAACTTAAAATTTTCTTTTAAAGAACCAAAAGAGCTAGAGCTAAAATATTTAGCATTAAACATCTTCTAATGGGTGTCTACCAAGTTTGTTCAAATAAAAGCCCTGGGGTCAAAATTGGCCCTGACCCAGGTAGTCATTGATTTTTCCTATATGCATATAGTAAAAACTTAAATTTTTTCTTTTAAAGAACCCAAAAAGCTAGAACTTAAAGATATTAAGCATGAAATATGGATGTCTACCAACTTTTTTAAAATAAGAGCCCTGGGGTCAAAATTGGCCCTGCCCCAGGGGGTCATTTATTTTCCCTATATGAATATAGTAAAAACTTAAAAATCTTCTGTTAAAAAACCCAAAAAGCTAGAGCTAAGATATTTAGCATGAAACATGTTCTAATGGATGTCTACCAAGTTTGTTCAAATAAGAGCCCTGGGGTCAAAATTGGCCCCGCCTCGGGGGACATTGATTTTCCTTATATGTGTATAGCAAAAACTTAAAAATCTTTTATGAAAAAACCCGAATAGCTAGAGTTTAGATATTAAGCATGAAACATCTTCTAGTAAGTGTCTACAAAGATTGTTCAAATAAAAGCCCTTGGGTAAAAACTGGCCCTGTCCCAGGGGTGTCAGTGTTTTTAAATATATGTGTAAAGAAAAACTTAAAAAATCTTCTTTTAAAAAACCCAATGAGCTAGACCTTAGATGTCTAGCATGAAACATCTTCTAATGGGTGTCTACCAAGTTTGTTCAAATAAAAGCCCTGGGGTTTAAACTGGCCCTGCTCCGGGGGGCCTATATACAGGTGAGCCATTTCAGGGCCATCATGGCCCTCTTGTTTACAAATATATATGATGTTTAGTGGCACATTTTTTCAATCACAACTCCTATATTTATCTAACTGTATATTGTAATTGACTGGAAACATTCTGATTGATGCTTACAGTCAAGGTCATTGTTACTAAAAAGTGAATATGTTTCCTGCCATTAACTAGAGAAAGGAATAAGATAAAGTACATGTAGGGATATATGTATGTAATGTTATCTTCTATGCATAAAAAGAATATAAGTTTCCTGCAAGCACATTTGATTGTTACAGTATTCTTTTCATGTCTGTCAATTTTCAAAACACTGCTTAACTTTCAGTAACAATATATGACATTTGTGACATGGTTAAAATTCCTTTCTATTGTGATAATGTGCTTTTAAGCTTGACTATTCTGTGATTGAAAATTTTTAAGGCTAGAAAAGTAAAATAAAATTCAGCTCTTAGTATGTTGTTGGTTATGGATTTTAGAAGTTGATCAGCCTTTCTTCATGCCTATGTCATTATATCATTACAGGCTTCTGAAGAGTTTTTTGAAGTACCTCATACAAAATTACTTGTTTGTCGGAGAGGAGGATCAAGCCGCTTTGGACTGGTGGATAAGAAATTAAAGTGTCAGATATGCAAGAAGGAATGTGAGCATTCAAGACACTGTAGAGAGGTGAAAAACAGAGGCTTTCAAAGTCAATACTTTGAGCTGATTGAAAATCTATTATCACCTGAACCAGATCAAAATTCCATACAGGCGATCAGAACTGAAGCTATTTGCTTATAAATTCAATATATTCAGCAAGTTTTAGGTCTCATTAGAAGGTCAGTATCCAAGGCTTGACTCTGTGACCCTGACATGGATAATGTCAGAATTATGACTGTTTTTTTTTTAATAAAAAAAGTTCCTGATTAAGTTTTATGTACATTCGTTGAATGAGGGTTTGTACTGTCTTTAAAAAATGGAAATAGTGCTTGAAAGTACTTGAATTTGGTTTTCTCTGAAAAATGCTTAATAAGTGCATGACAATGTTCATAGTTTAGCATCTTTATTTCAAGAGGTATCTCCTCTTCAAGAATCTTGCTGTAAAAAAATTTATATTGGTTGTTTAAAGATTTACCTTCAGAGTGTCTTTTAGTCAGTCTGTCTGTTCCGTCCTAAAAACTGTTTTCTGAGATCACTTTTAAACTTGTAACTTTTCCAAAAAATTTACTTGAAATATAGAAAATTTTAAATATTAGTAATACATATTCATCCTGAGAAAATTGGATCATTTGATTATCTGTTGTAGATACAACATTTCCTTCTAAGTAGGGAAACTGAACACATTACTATGATACAAACAAACAAAGAACTCAAGAGATTTAAGTTCATTCATGTCATTCATTTACTGGTAAAATTGAATGGTCAGTGGCCCTTCAGAATGTTCTTTGGGTTTTGACTGGAATAGTACTTATGGATTGCTTGCAATTCTATGAAAATTGCTTTATTCTTAAATCATTCATGTTTACCATATAGTAAATCACTTTTTCTTACAAATATCTCTTGTTTTCCCATGTTCTACAGACCCTGCCAAGATTGTGGTGCTGCAGCAGTATTTGAAGGACAATCAAAATGTCTGCTCAATCTTGGCACATATCTTGTTGGTAATGATGTTTTGAGGTCCTACATGCATAGCTTTCTTCATGGGAGGTGAGTGACTAAGTGCAGTGCATTGTGTAATAAATAAATGTCAAATTTATTCAACCCAAACGTAAAATACGTAGAGCCTTTGATATATATATGCAATAGTTTGCTTTGGCTATGGTTATTTTTATTTGGTAGGTTAAGTAGTGTTGCTTAGTTATAGACATCTTAGATTAAACCTGGCGACAATGAGTTGGATGGCATCCAATGATACCCCTGCAATTAAGCAGATAATACTTCATGCCATGAAAATGATTTATAGATATCTTTTCTCCTTGCATGAAGGGGGACCAGGAACCAAAAACTCTTTAAGTTAAATTTTAAAGCAGCAGGCCTCCAGATTCATGTTAATTTTCATAAAAATTTTGGAATTGTATTTAAAAGTAAAATATTGTGAGATGAACAAGTAAAGCAATTAACATATTACAATCGGCACTTACAATCCAAGGAAACTACCAAAAAGTGCAAAAACAACCTTTACTGCAAAAGTAATTAACGCAGTAGAAATCAAATATATGATAAAATACTGCAAAAGCAGTTTTAAACAGCCTATAGCATGTAAATATCCTTTGGATCTTGAATGTTTTCACCTTTTTTTGAAATTTTAGTATATCATATTTTTCTAAATATTGATTTTTTTGGCTCATCTGGAGGCGTGCAGCTTTAATATACAATGTTTTATTGAACTTTTAATGTAATTGAACTAATTATTCAAAATAACTTTATAGTTTTAAATGGAGTAATGATAATTGCATGGTTTAGACCATTAAGTGGGACAATGTAAGATGTAGCAAGTAAACAGTCATTCATTAACATTTACAAATTTGGTCTCAAACAGAATAATATCATATAAATGTATCTACCTAGCAGGGCAGAGATCACAACAGTCAGTGTCTTCAGGCATATGGCCAGAGATGAGCTAACAGTCATCTTTATGATTTTTTTGTTAATTCATCCACTTCCTTGCATATGTACTTTTTCCCGTTGGGATACGTTTTTATTTTGAATGTATATTTGGTAATTGAATACATGTTTTCATTTGCTCTTCTGCAAAAGTAGAGGCGGATGTTCATTTGAACCCGATTCAGTAGTCCTGTCTGAGTATTTGGAGAAGACACTGTGATACAATTTCACGAGATCACTGTCTTCAATTTTAGGATAATGGTCGACAGACCCTTTTCCAGATCTTTTAATTTCAGACTGTGCTGCCTTGTACCCTTCATTAGCAACTGCGAATTCAGGGCTACTTATTATGTCAAAAGGTTTACTGTGTGGTGGTAATATGATAATATGGTGATATGCCTTCTTCATTTCAGCTACTCTGAGCGAACTTTTTTTGAAGATGCTACCACAAGACATCTCCTGAAGCGTTTCACAGCAGATTCAGCTCGTGGGGTTAAGTTAACACCTCTGAGTGAATCCGATAAACATAAGCTTCTGTCATCAGTGGAGAAAGTTTCTAAGTTTCTTTATAAATGTGATTACAATTTGTAATGGACAATTTTCCTGTTTTCTTGTATTTGAATGTGAACTTCATTACAACAATGTTTATACACATTAACTTACAAGAAAAGAGATCAATATCCCTATTCACTCATGTTGATGTCAAGTGATTAAAATTAACATGATTTTGGCTTTGTGTAGCATTTATAGTTAAATATTTATTTCCGTTTTTGTGCTAAGAATTTCGCTTATATATAAGTGAAGGTGATTAAAATACCACCCTGGACATATAAGTCTCAATATCGTATGTGCCTTGTTAATGTATGTCTTGGAGCCCTTTATTTGGAAGTATTTATATTATTGTTTTATGAGTGATGCCGTTTACTGGATAGTTGCATGCGTATTTGCTCATTTCTCTGTACCAATAAATATATGCCTTGACTACAAAGTGTTGTTGTTGTTGTATAAATATATATACTATTTTGAAATATCAATGCCATCTTCTTGAATGTAAATCTGTTAGTTTTTAGCTCGGCTATAGAAGTATATCGAGAGCTGTTCTACTCACCCTGTCGTCGGCGTCAAATTTTAAATAATTATCGTATCGGTTTCATATTATCCTAAACAGTTCTAGTTTAGCCCAGGCTTTCCAGAAAAGTAATAGCAGTATCTTTAAGAGCATACTATAGACATGACTTTTTAAGAATTTAATTTTACGCTTTATATCAATGTTACAAAAAAGACGAGCATAAGTAAGTAAATGAATACAAGGTAAACAAAATGCTTTTATACACGCGCATCTTTCAAAATAAAAGACATTGTTGCATCAACTAAATCCTTAGCTATTCAAGGGACATAGTTCTTACATATATATTACTTTTATATTTGGTGTGTAAACATACTCAAAATTTCAATTTAACAGTTATTGAATGATAAAAATGATTGTGCCTTTCCATAAAATAAATATGCACTGATTGAATAGCAAACACGGGTGACTATGATCAGACAGTACGGGTGTGTAAAAGGTAAAATTCCGCAAGAAATACAAACCAAATTATAGTTCAACTATTTTGAAAAGACAAATTGATGTATTCGTTCAAAACATAAGTCTGGTCTCTTAAGTCACTTTTTACATGATGAGACCATGTGCCAAAAATATAAAAACTCAGTTTACATTTATACCACTATGATGAAAATTACAACAACAAAAACCGCAATAAATACAAACCAAATTATAGTTGAACTATTTTGAAAAGACAAATTGATGTATTTGTTCAAAACATAGGTCTGGTCTCTTCAGTCGTTTTTTACATGAAGAGACCATGTGCCAAAAAATATAAATTTTCAGTTTACATTTATACCACTATGATGAAAATTACAAAAAAAAATCTCTTAAGTCACTTTTTACATGATGAGACCATGTGCCAAAAATATAAAAACTCAGTTTACATTTATACCACTATGATGAAAATTACAAAAAATACGTAAGAAAAACAAAACAAATTATAGTTCAACTATTTTGAAAAGACAAATTGATGTATTCGCTCAAAACATTAGTCTGGTCTCTTCAGTCACTTTTTACATGAAGAGACCGTGTGCCAAAAAATATATAATTTACATTTATACCACTATGATGAAAATTACAAAAAAATACGTAAGAAAAACAAAACAAATTATAGTTCAAGTATTTTGAAAAGACAAATTGATGTATTCGCTCAAAACATTAGTCTGGTCTCTTCAGTCACTTTTTACATGAAGAGACCGTGTGCCAAAAAATATATAATTTACATTTACATTTATACCACTATGATGAAAATTACAAAAAATACGTAAGAAATACAAACCAAATTATAGTTCAACTATTTTGAAAAGACAAATTGATGTATTCGCTCAAAACATTAGTCTGGTCTCTTCAGTCACTTTTTACATGAAGAGACCGTGTGCCAAAAAATATATAATTTACATTTACATTTATACCACTATGATGAAAATTACAAAAAATACGTAAGAAAAACAAAACAAATTATAGTTCAAGTATTTTGAAAAGACAAATTGATGTATTCGCTCAAAACATTAGTCTGGTCTCTTCAGTCACTTTTTACATGAAGAGACCGTGTGCCAAAAAATATATAATTTACATTTACATTTATACCACTATGATGAAAATTACAAAAAATACGTAAGAAATACAAACCAAATTATAGTTCAACTATTTTGAAAAGACAAATTGATGTATTCGTTCAAAACATAAGTCTGGTCTCTTCAGTCACTTTTTACATGAAGAGACCGTGTGCCAAAAAATATAAAATTTACATTTACATTTATACCACTATGATGAAAATTACAAAAAATACGTAAGAAATACAAAACAAATTATAGTTCAAGTATTTTGAAAAGACAAATTGATGTATTCGCTCAAAACATTAGTCTGGTCTCTTCAGTCACTTTTATAATGGTCTCTTCAGGAAGAGACAGTGTGCTACATAATATAAAATGTCAGTATACATTTATACCTGTATAATAAAAAATACGTAAAATACGTAAGAAAAATAGAATTACAACTGATTGTTGTTTTCGTTCGAAGATACCGTTCGCCGAAAAAGTCACAATAAATTGAAGTCAGTATGATAAAAATATGTTAGAAATACAAACAAAAGAAAATTGAAACTGTTATGGCAAAAGCCAAGTTAATGCTTTTTCCTCTTAT